TTTGATATCGGTACCTTAGAAATAAAGTACACAATAGTATTATTAGTCCTGCTGCTAGACATATAGTTTGTACAATGGAAGATGGTACTTTACATGTATATAGTGTTAGTGCCTTATCATCAGAGCTAAATAAGGTATCTTACTTAACATTGTTTAAGGCTAAGGTTGGAAAAACCCTACAAGTTGAAAGTAGGCCTAGTTGAGATTATGTTGACATTCCTGTATACATACAGTGACATACAGTGACAAAACTTTCTGACGTCTGCTTGGTTTTATACTTTGATTCATTTACTCTGCTCCACTTGAAGTGTGTTTCTACCCAAAATGCAAACAAATTTTATCAATTTTTGGGTGAAAATGCAATACATAACTCTGGATCCTTTATTTCTTAGTATATTAAGTTTTTGATGATCTAAACTTTCTAAACAGGATTTCACTCTCCTGTGCATTGTGTTATTTCAGCCTCCTGCACCACTAGTTAAAGTTGTAACCAGTAATAAAATGTGTGATACTATGTCAACAGTAGGAAGTGAAAAGTCTATGAATCGTACTGCTGGTAGTACTAAATCTTATAATAGTCATGTTACATCTCGTAAATATACTAATTTGTCTCAAGATACTACTCAGGTACTTATTAATTCCTACTACCTTGATATCAGTTTTATACACATTATAACAAATTAGATGATGATTGAACAGTATTTACTTGCATAATACACAAGCTTGCCTTTTGGCAACTCTCTGCTGTTTCCATAAAGCTGAATCTAACCCAGATATGAATGGAACAAATCCATGTGTCTTTAATGCCGAGACTCTTGATTAGGCCACCCAATATAAACGGCAGAAACTCAGTGTATAAAAGCTGATTGTTATTTTTTTTAGGTTAGTTTACCTGATGGTATGGAAATGAGTAAATTATTAGCTATATTAAGGGGTTATGGTGAATATCCAGCCAAATACAGGTAATTATTATACTTTCCCTCATATTATACATTGAAGAAAGTTGACACAAGGTCTTTTTACAAATTTTCTGTGTTGAGCATCACAACCCTGTCTATTATTTCAGGATGTTTATATGGAGATCAGTATTAAGATTACCTGAAAATCATGCTGCCTATGCTGCATTAGTTGATAAAGGAACACATCCATCATTTGCTAAAATGCATGAAGTTTATCCTTTAAAAAGTAGAAAATTATTGAGAGTTTTACAAAGGTATGATAGTGGATGTTTAGTGATATAGGCAAGGCTATTGCAAGTATATATGTGCTTTCAATTGATGATTAGAAGCATAGTTCAGAGCTCAATTGAAAGGGATTGTAGAGTGAATTTCTTAATTTTTTATGTAAAAATGTTGTGTACATCAAAGCTCAGTACAGGGCCAATTCCAAATAATAAAATGAGCAGGCCACTTTACTTGGTAGTTTGTGTAGCAAGGACAACAGTATAAATTTGATGTAAATAGAGTAAGCAAGAACTTTTCTAGTATATTGAAGCTTTATGAAATGAATTTTTTGTCTTGCAGAATATTATCAGCATTAGCTCATTGGTCTCCAATATTTGGTGAAACACAATATTTACCTATGTTAGCTTTTCCCTTTGTTAAATTATTTCAAAATAACCATTTAGTTTGTTTTGAGATAATAGCCACTCTTTTAGGTAAGATATCTGGATGTATGATTTCTTTGGATTTTTTTTTTGCTAAATCAATTGCAATCATATAATTTAATCCCAAAATTAATCAAGTTAATACCCTCTTGCAAGAGATACGGGCCATGTATTCTTGAAGATAAGAACCTAGGACATCCTAGTGCTAAGATCATTTCGAGAATATGCCACCAGGTTTTTGAGACAAATTTGCAAAGTTGTCAAATACAACAAATTAAACAAGTAGTATGTTTACATTGTCATCGATATTTCAGTAAATTGGGGAAGTCATTGGTTTGAATATTTCCCCAATCCACCTATAAATATACTGGCAATGATAGAAAATGTTTTGGCTCATCATGATAGGTTATTATTACAACATTTTGTTAGATATGGTGTGACTTCACAGGTTAGTATATAAAACTATTTCTCCTGTTCAATGAGTTTTTTTATTTTTCTCATATCCCTAAAGTCTTATATTGTAAATATCTGGAAAGGCCCAGTTTTAAGAGACAGCAATTTAATTGTTGGCTGTCACTGTACCTGTATATAAATGAAATTTAAAAGCATTGAAATGAGAGTTAGTTTCAAAAATAATCATTCAAGTCGGGCTAGCTCTGAGACATTTGAAATTTTAAAATTCAATACACTTCAGTATATTTGAAAAATTAAGTCACATGACCAGGTTCAGAAAAATTATTATGACATCACTGGTGAGTGTTCTGTCAACCAGTTGAATTAATTAGATTGTCATAAACAGAGAACTGTCTTAAACTTTCATTCAGTCAGTCACTAGTATTCAATTAGTAGTGATTAGTTTTAAATAGTAAGACACTTAATCACACCTACTGAACTGAGAATAACTGACACCTTATCTGATTGGTTGACACACCAACTGAGTATCTGCTACCTATAATTTCATTGGTCACTTCTGAAATATGAATTCAGATATATGTTCAAGTGAGATGTTTTTCACATCATTCACAAGTCAGTTTTGAACAAGTTCACATGGTGGCAATTTTGAAGAAAATGATGAGATATTGAACATCTTGCTGACAAGAAAAGAAATTCTGTGAAACTTGGAGGACTTTGTAGTTTGTTATTGAGTGAACATACACAAAATGGCATCCATAGTGGATTATAGTCCAAATTCTACTCAACTTAGTAAATGTAGTGAATATTCTAGACTGTCATCTCATCCAATGTTCACACAACTTCAAGCAACTCTTTTATCAGACTGTTTTCAACAGGAACTTCCATATTCCTTGATAGATGAAAGTGTTCCTGCAGTGCCAGCCTCAAAATCCCAAGTGCCAGAAATAGTGAATTTAGACTCTGCTATGATTGCAGTACAGGAAGCCAATCTTCAGGCTGATTTTCGACAGCTATCAATGAGAGGAGATGTTCGTGTTAGTGAATTACAAACCTTTTATTACGGTCAGTGTTCTCAAAATGAAACCAGACGCACTGAAGCTGTAACAGAACTGAAAGCTATGAGTTTTATCACTCAAGAGGAACTTAAAGAAAAGTTGACCATAGTTCATGAATATTATGATAAAGAACGCCTGCAATTAACCAATCGTGTGACTGGAAGTCTACAGTTGTTAAAAGCATGTCATGTACCAATACCAAATAAAATAGTCTACAATAAGAGTAGATCAAGACAATTGAATCCCAAAGCTATACAAGTGATGAATGAATGGTATAGTGAAAATCTAGAGAGTCCGTATCCTAATGATGAAGAAAAAATAATATTAGCTGATAAAGGAGGAATATCTTTAGCTCAAGTGAAAGCATGGTTTGCTAATAAACGTAACCGATCCAGTAACACGAAACCTAAACGCCAAAAACAACAAGTTGAGAAAAGACTATTGAATATTTGTACGGAATTAACAAGCAATGGACAGTCTGAAGGGAAATCTCCAAAAATGTATGGTGAAATAATCCAACAATTATCAGAAATTGTGAATGGTGCTAATGTTTTTAATCAATCATACAATAGAAATTTATGTGAACAATAATTCTGCTTGAATATAGTTTAGAAATGTGCTTTTTGGAGAGATAGACCACAACTCGGTCAAAAAGTGGAAATGTCATCTCTGATGTGTGAAAGGAATATGAAATGAACAATTTTGCTAGTTAAATTATGGTATGGTCTAAAAATGTTCAGAAAGAGACTGTAGATTTTAAGGGTACTCAATTTGTCGGTTCTGCCCATTCAAAAATCCTGGATTTAACCAGTGCAATAAAATTATTTAGAACAATGTCCACCTCTGTTGAAACAAAGTAGGTGTAAACAGTATTCCAAATTAGGAATGTGACATATTCACGTCCGTACGGTTCGATTGAATCCATTATTTGAACAGGCGAACATGTTTAGAATTAACCCATCAAGCGCCACCCTTAAGACTAAGTACAAAATGTCATGTACATTCGTGAAAGTCTTCCTGAATCAGGAAGATAATCTGACATTAATGACTGACAGCTAGTCAGTGAAGTTAGAACTAAAATGTTTTATTTATGATTTACTAATTTATAGTGCTATGTAAATAATGAATTTGTATTTATTATTGTAAATAAGATTTACATTTTAAGTAAATTTGAAATAAATTATTGATTTTCAAATTATTGTTGTTTATTTTTTGATAACATTGTTCTTGGTAAAAAGATTCCCGCCCACTGCTGAACGAAAGTGAATAGTCTTTGATTGGATCGTTGTCTGCAGTTTCATCATGAAATATTACATTGTAAATTTTGAATAAGGAAATGTAGAATCATTAACTGAGCAGTATAGTAATATTCTTCTAAAGCTCAGCAAGAACACTACATTTTAAAAACTACAAAATCTCAAACTGCAAAAAGTGTTTCTTTGATTGAAATCTTGTTGATTGTCTTCAGTAGAGGTATTTTATTATCTATATCAAATATTTCTATTTAAAACTAAAGATAAATTTGAGATTATTTACTGTTATTTATTGTAGATATATGCATGGCCACTATTAGAGTCTGTATTTTCTGAAGTTTTAACTAAAGAAGAATGGTTAATGTTATGGGATAATATATTTAGTCGTCATCCTGGCTTTATATTAATGTTAGTTGTAGCTTATGCTATATGTGCTAGAGGACCTTTAACACAGTGCGTGGAGCTGGATGATTTTAAGGTATGGTGCTCTACTTTTCAGGAACATCAGGGAAATCAGCTCATATATATTCTAAATTCAATCCCAGAATAGAATATGTTTTGGGTGCTGTAACCTTTTAATGGAAGTTCTCTTGGATGGTCTTGGATATTCATGATTGGTTATAAGAATTTCTTTGAATCTGTTTTCAATGAGTATTTTAAGAAATTATTTTATTCGATACAATGAGTTTACTTTTAAAAAGTTATTCAGATGAGACAATAAACTGAGATGTGCATGTTAAAGATACCTTGACAGGTTGAAATAGTACAATGCCACTATCCTGGAAAAATTGGCTTGAAAGCATTAACCTAATAAGGAGTTGAAAGTAGTATTTAAAAATCTCATTTCTTGTTGTATTTTGATGACATTTACAATATTCTGCTAATTTCAGTATTTTTACCACCATCGTAATGCTGTAGATATTAAACTGGTTATTAAACAAGCATTAAGATTAATGGAGTCTACTCCTGATGATATCCATCCTGTTAAATTATTAGAGAAATTTAAACCATTAACTCGGGGTCAATATCCTGTCTTTAATAAATATCCTAAATATATTGTTGATTATCAGGTAATAATTCATATTACTTTTATTTATTATCTTTATTATCTTACATACTAGATTGATTTTATTTTGGAATATTTTATATTTTATTAAAGGGTGAAAGCCAACTCTGAGAGGCACTTGCCATGTTATCAGAAATTTTCTTAACATGAGGTGGATTTGAGCTCAGAGCATTTAATCGCCCTGCAGACAACAATCCAGTTTGCTACTGACTGAGCTATTCCATTGAGGGATTGAAATAGCCATTCATATTTTGCTAAATAGGTACAAGAAAGAGAAAGAATAAGACAAGAAGAAGATGAATATCTCAGACAAAAGTAAGAATTGTTAATATATATATTCTCATGAAAACCCAGAAATATGTATGCTTGGTTTCATGATTTAAAACCGACTTCCATATTCTAAAGATCTTAGCGCTAGGATATTCTAGGTTCTTATCTACTAACACTGTTTCTAGGATCCTAGCTCTAAGATTGTTTTGAGATTAGTGTCCAGGTGATTATTGGATCAGTCTCTATCAACATTTTAATTTTGTTATTTTTCTGCAGACAATTATCATTAAATACTGAACAAGAAGCAGCTAAGAGAAGACAAGAAGAAGAGGCCTGGTATAGACAACAACAATTATTATTAGAGGCTGAAAACAAGAGACGATTAATGATACAAGCTGAAGAACAAAAGTTAGCAGATCAACGAAAGAGGTAAAGATTTATCCATTTTCTAGTTGTGGTATGTCTGGATTTCATCGTGGGCTTTTTTACAAGCATGATATAGGATATCTTTCTTATTGCCAAAGGGCTCCAATTCATATGGTAAATTCTGTTCAAGAGCAAAATTGAGCCTTAAAAAATGTTTCTATTTCAACTTAGATTATTTGCTATGAATCGTGAAGTAAAATTAAAAGAACTTCAGTTACTGGATGCAGCCAGAAGAAAATTCCTGCAATTCCAAAAACAGCAGAGAGAAGCAGAATTAAGACGTTTAGATGATGAAATGCAGAGAAAGGTAGGGAAGGATTTCAATAAAACAAGAACTTGTACAAATGGAAGTCAATGTTGTGTGCTACAGGCTATGACTGATCAGTAGACAGTTAGAAATAGTGAGATATTTAGACTACATTGTAAATGAACATTTTTTTAATCCCGTCATGTATGTAAATTATAATGTAAAATATATAATAGTTGGGTATCTAAAGAATACTTTTTTTCTTCAGGCATTATTAAGAGATCAAGAAACAGAAGGTGCTATAGAAGAAGCAGAAATAAGAAATTTAGAATTACAATTAAAACGAAAAATGTTTGAACAGGTTGGATAATTCATATCAGAAGAAAACCTACATGTACTTATCTAAACCTTAGTCTCGGACCATAATCGTTAAAAATCAATGAGGTAGACATGAAATGTGTCCAAAAGTCATCCAAGGTTTTCAGCTTGCATCCAGTAATAAAATTTTGTTACGGATGTTAAGCGAGTTTGATTCTTACACATTTTTCAAGCAAATGATATATATCATGAATAAGGTTTCTTAAATCATATTATTCCAGTGTATTCATTTGGTTCTATTTATTAAAAGGAATTATTTAGAGATTTTGCTGTGTCATCTCAACAATTAAAATCTGAACAAGATGCCCATCGTAAACAAGAAGAATTAGAACAACGTATTAAACAGAGAATACATAATGCTGAACAGGAACGAGAAATGGAAGTTAGAAAGGTCAGCTTTTATTGACATGCTGTTTCCAATCAAACAAGGCCTTATTTCTTCGATTCATTGTTGTGACTTGACAGGACAGGACATTTAGTCTCAAAAACAGAATTATTTTAGCTGTGCTAATCAGTAATAGTGTTCACAGCTCACCCTTGAAATTTGAGCCTTCAAATGCATGTAAGTCCAGAATTATCAACATTTGAAAGTAAAAATGACGACAATTTGAGTTCTAGTACTTCTGAAGACTATTTACATATATTCAAGACACACATCAAACCTGTAAATGGCCTTGCCCTTGAAAGCGTTGGCTATGGCATATTTCTGTCTCTTATGTGTCCAGATCTCATAGAGTTAAAGTATTGTAATTATTTTACACAAAACATTTTCTTACAGATGATGGAACAGAATTTAGCTGTAGCCACCCAAAAGAATGTTGATATGTGGGCACGGAAAGAAATGGAAGAAAGATTTCGTATTGAAGACTTAGAGAGAGAAGCTAAAAATGTTCAGGTACAAATATGAATTTTATATTCAGCATTGAAAATATATTTTTGGATCAGCATTATTATATTAAATGTGTATCAGAGCAGAGATAATAGAAATTGCTGCCCTGGCTAATTTTCCTTATTGCATACAGCATGGCATTGCCCATCTTAGGTGGCAGTAAGGTGTAGAAATGTAGGCTGATGTACACTGTTGATTTACTCATCAAAAGGCTTATTAACTTTACCTTTCCCAAATGATTCAATTTTACAGTTGGCCAGGTTACATACAGAAAACAGATCATTAGAAACAGAAGTTCATCAATTAATGAAAAAATGTCAAGATGAAAGGGTAAGATTGCTAATTCGTAATTTATCTCTGCTATTAATATTTATATCATAGTTAATATTTATACAAATCAAGCTAATTATGAATTTTTCTTTTAAATTTGAATATTCAAACAGTCTCTCTACTGACATTAATGGAAAATGCCCCCATGTTGTTGAGTACTGGAAGAGAGAATTTAAGCAAAATTACTGTTTTTATGACACTGGCACACACTTCTCCTTTAAAATCTTTATAATGATGTGGTTTGCAAATAAATCTGGACGTCCAATGATATACCTGTGTTAAAATTTTGGAACTTATATTTGTAGGAGAAAGATACAGCTGAAGGTTATAAAGAGTTAGGATATGAGGTTGATGATCATATATCTGATAATATTAGACGTTTAGATAGATTAGAAATAGAACAACACACTAGTAAACATCATACTGATCATTTACTAAATAATATTCAACAAGGTAAGATTTTAAATTATCTCCCCTTTTTGGTTTTAGGATAAATTCACAGCTGGTTACTTTGTATGGTTTCGACTTTGATTTTGACAGTTGTTCCAAATCAAATTTTTAATGTATGTTCACACTTTGTTAATTATGTATTACTTTCCTCCATTAAGTGGAAACTGTACATTTTATTGGAAACAGAAATGTTCAGATAAATGAGACCTCACTGATTAGGCCTGGCTTATCATTTCTAGAATCACTTGCATCTGATCTAATCGATCTTGTGATGTAATTTTAAAAGATTATGATTAAATTTCAGCTGGTACATCTAAACAGATAAGTTTTCAAGAACCATTAGATGGTTATCCAACAGATGAGTCCAATTCTTCTAAAGGTAGATAATCTTATGATTCCCTACAATATATGAGTTCAAATCTCCTGTAATTTTTCCTACTTTTCACTTTCTTCTGTAAGAGTTGAGTAATGCTTCTAGACTTTTAGAAAACATCAGCCATGCTTCTAGACTTAACATTGATACAACTACAGATAAATAAAAAAACACTTGATCTTACATCCTTGCAACAAATTATTATTTCAGTATCATTTGAAAGAAGTCGAGAGACGTTTGATGAAAAAGAGATGGAATTATTAAATGAAGTTAGAAGATTACGTCAAAGACTGGCCACTGAAAATAGACATAAAAAACCTCCTCCAATGTTTCCAAACAATTAACTCAAAGAAGGTGTCTCATTTGTTCTCTGATTGAAAGTTCTCTGTGATGTTAGTGCTTCACTGACTGTAAAAATATGTATCAATTTAATGTCACAATCATGCCCCCAGCTTTAAATAATACCTTTAAATTGGTTTGATGATATCCAATCTGTAATGGATATATCTTTTTCTTTGAATAGACTGAGTGAGATATAAAAACTATTTCTGGCACTGGATGTAAAGGATATTTTCTCTATTTCAAATTTGTACTAACATAAGAAAAGTGAGACATTGTATATGTTGTTAATACTAATTGTATCTTATATAAATGGTAGGTACATGGTATATATATATAATTTGTTTCAATTCACTTATCCTCCTTCCCAATACTGTAAATAGGTTCAAATCCACCAAGTTATTGTCAGATTATAGTTAAAAAGAGAGATATATATAATGCTGTCTGAAGACTTGACTGAAGTAATTTCTGTTGTGCTTTTGTATATATGAAAATAAATTATATTGTGAATAAAATTATTTTATACATTTAAATCTTAATATTTCGCTTTTAAGAGTTGATATCCACTGTTATAAGATCAGTGTGAAGTCAACTCAGTGGTTACTTTTGAAATGGATTGGACATGGATGATGGTCCTCTTTAACCACTACATAATATGTAAGTTTTCATCTCATTGTGAGGAAAAAGTAGTCACACCCACATGCTTTCCACTGTGTCATGGAAAATGTCAAAAAATGTAAATGGTTAGGCCTACTGACTTACAATGTCCATGTCCAAAGACATAATTACCGTGTATTTGCGTGTATGATGCGCAATTTTTAGACTTTTTTTTTCTCCAAATCTCGATAGGGCACCCTGACTAAATGGGGGACAACTGTCAAGTTTGCGATTCATGATATGCGCGATTCTCCTACGGTTCTTCCCAATGGAAATATTTGAAAGAAAGAATTATGCATGATTTGGTTCATTCTAAATGTCTGTGCTCCCATTTGCGCCGCCACTGATAGTTGATTAGTTGTCTAGTTAGTTAGCTTTGTGTTGAGGTATAAATCTGGTGTACAGTCCTCAGGAATTTATACATTTTGGAACATTGTGATAAATTGAATCTGTCCTATAATAAATGCCAGTAAACACTGCTTCATTATCAGTATCAAACGGCTCATAAGAATTAATTGAACTCTACAACAGCACATTGTTCAATATAATTTGTTCATTTTGGATAAATGGATATATCGGCAATATCACACTTTTTAGGCCTGTATATGGCACTGATAAATGATTTAACGAGGTCAGGGACAATATTGGTGTATATAATATGATATATATACGCGTTATAATAATATAATTTATTATTTGCCTTTTAATTGACATGCATTAGATAGCATATATGACAAGGCTTATATTCATATTAAACTTAATGGTGTATAACAAAATCTGTATATCTAAGGCATATTAGGCTAATGGGATTGTTTATAACGGTATTTAACGGTTTTTCAGTTTTATAATATCGCACTCAGCTGATATTGACAATCGAGTGGAGACATGCTGTAATTTACCGTTATCAACATTCATACGCATGGGTTTGCAATTCGGGAATAAGTTTAGTTGGGATGAAATAAAACTTTAGAAAATCAACCATTGTATTTCAAAATATAAAAATCATTTATTTTGATACTTTCAACAAAGTTTAATCAAAAAACTAAACGGGTGTTATATTTTGTGGCGGATGGATTTATAAGAAGTGAAAGAAGAGCGAGCATTTTCCCGCCACAGGATTTCCATCAATGTGTGAATACGGGTCAAAATTGGCCTGTATAGCGGGTTGATATCAATTTCAACCGCAAAAATGGGGCTGTCCGACGAGGGTGAGGACAGCGTCCAACAGAGATATGATGAATTATGCCTTGATCTTAACATGGACCTCAATGCGAAGGAGGAAGCGTGGCAATCATACCAGAGAATCCAAGTTAATTTCACTCTGGAGGTAAGATAAAAAGAAAATACGGCCGCCATGTTTTGTATTAAATAGCCTCTCACGCTGACTTCCGTTCGAATTTTTATTCATATTTATCACTATTTTTATTTCAGGGAGATAAAATTCAATGGCTAGCCTGTGCATTGTACGAAGCATGTCGACGTACCATTGTTCCTACTGTTGGTCGGGGAATTGTAGAGGGAAATTGTGTGTCTTTAACTCGGTTGCTTCGATCTGCCAAATTCAGGTAGGTTAATAATGAGCCTATAGACCAACCCAGATTGAGAGTTAACATTAGTAGGGTCTACGGCTACAGGGATATTGACTAGAGTATCACAAGTTGGCTGAATGACCACCAATTAATTCTTAGCTTTCTTGCAGTAATCATGATATGACTTCATTCAAAGTATTATCCACTAATATTATAAAGCCCAAGCTAGGCTAGGCTATATCAAACTCATGACAGTTCACTTCCTACAATCTGGTACAGATGTCAAATTGTGTCTGTTCTTTATTAGTTTGATATTTATTTAGTAATAATATTGTTCATTGTGTGAAGTGTTTCCATTTACTATTTTGAGTAAATATTTTATTGTTTATTCTTTTAGTTTGATACAATTTTTCAACAAGATGAAAAAATGGTCAGATATGGCCAATCTACCACAGGAATTCCGAAATAAAGTTGACAGACTTGAAAGAAACTTTGCTGTGTCAACTGTTATCTTCAAGAAATTTCAACCAATATTTTTGGATATATTTCAAGATCCTGCTACAGATAGTCCTAGGCCTAGGAGCAGAAATAAGAGGTAAGTTTGGTTTATTATCTGTTTGACATATTCTTTCTAATTAGTGATATATTAGCTTTAGTGTGTCTCTTCTAACATGAGAAAGATAGTTTTAGTATGACTTGCTCTTAATATATTACTTTTAGTCTATTAGTTCTCTTGACTGATATGAAATTTTCACACTGAAAAGTACTATATAAGCTTGCGAAGCAGAAATTGTTATCTATTTAGTCTTTTCTCACTTATAAAACAAGAATACATGTGCTTTTGATCTTAGAAAATTGTGCAAAATATTTATCATTTCCACCCTCTGTCACTTATGTGTTTTATAACTTTGATTAATTTGTGTGTCTGTTATTTTACTAAAGTAACTCTAGGCGTAGAATCAAACAATGTAGTCCTGCTAATAATGTAGATGAGAGGTAGTTCTTTTCATTTTCACTAGTTACCAGTTTAATGTTCCTATTAACATCACTTTATTCTGTTTATTTTATTCACCTACTATAGCTAACCACCATTACCTTTGTATTGTTTTTCCTTCATGTGTTCATGATATTAGATTTATTTAAAGGTTTTGGGGAGAATTTTTGAAAATATTTGACTACTTTCAATATGCATACTTCTGAATTATCAGCAAAGCGAACACTCTGAATAATTGTTATCAAGTTTGTGTGTGTTGAGGTATAGTTTATAACTTGGTAATTATATGTCTGTATTATTTTGCTTACAAGTGACTTGTGATCTATTTTGTGAACGGTATGAAATTTCATTTAAACTTGCCATTTTAGTTTATTTTATTTTTTAATTTTGATCAAATGTCTAAATCAAGTTTCTCTGATTTTAGGCGTTTACCATGTACAGTTAGTGAGGTGTTTACATTTGCTTGGACTATGTTTGTTCAAGTGAAAGGTAAGGTACTATTCTTATAACATCTTATTGTAAATTTTTATCAATAGACAATACTATGTTAAGTCTAGATAGGATTGGTCAGATTAAAAATTACATGTGGCTTCAAAGGCATCTCTCTTTGTGTCATTGTAAACTTTATATCTATATTCTTGTAAAATTTCAGGTAATTTTCCAGCAATAAGTGATGATCTAGTTAATTCTTACCATTTATTATTATGTTGTATTGATTGGTTCTTTGCCAATGCCTTATTAGGAGGTAGAAAAGATTTACTTAATTCAGAATTTACAGGTATGTACATATTCTCTGGGTTTCTTTTACTACCACAGTAGTACTCTAAGACAAGATGATAAGATGGTTCAGGCTTCCATTAGACTATCTTCACAATGTCAAGCTATTGCATACAGTGTCTTATACCTTGACTTCAATAGCTGCTATTTTTATATCACAGAAGTTTGTAAATGAGCGATAGGATTGTACGCTGGTGAATACAGTCAATCAGAAGTCTGTAAACAATAAGTCACAATATTAAGTCTTTCTGTTGAGGGCTCTGATTGGCTGTATTCGTCGAAACAGTTAACTTTGCCATTGTAATGATATTTTGGTATTTCATTTCTTGTATATAAACAGAACGTATTTAAATTTAAGAGCAATTTCTTGTGATGACAAAATGAACATAAAGTGGATCAAGTTTTCGCCTCGTAAAAGCTATCATGTATAGATCTTTGTTGTTAGGTTTACCAAGTGATTATGATAGTAAAGATTGGAAGCCCCCTGTTGAAGCTCCCTGTATCATACAGTTATTATGTGATAAACATGATGGCTTAAGTCTGGAAGCTAAAACTATTAAAGAACATTGGTGGAAACCTCACATCAAGAAACTATTCGATCGAAAGGTAGATAATATTCAAATATATAAAATTTTATATTTTTTAATGCTGTGTCCCACCATTGACGCAGGTTAGAGTCGCAGACAATTTTTAATTTCTACATGAAGTTATACCAGTTATATCCATCACTCGTGTATGCATCAAAGATCTTCAGAAAGATGGAAATCACAAGGCTAGACTAAAGCTGCAGGACTGACAAAATATATCCCTCACTGAACTGTGTCAAGTTTTATACCTTCATTAGCCCATTCTGGAACTGAAATGAGGATATAATATTGTCTCATGTTATTTCAGGTCTTGAAGGGGAAGTTTGAAACCTTATCTGCTGTACTAGAAATAGGACATTTTGAAATGAACAGGTAAGTGCCTTTTATGTATTGGTTTCTCTCAATATCTTTATTCAATATTATGTTTTGGTTTATTGCATCAAGTTAAAGCTTAAGTGTTATGGATTTGGGCTAGAACATTTGGCTCCCAAAAGTTTTCAGGTAATCCAATGAATATTTTGTTATGAATGGTACTATTCTATTATATTTTAGTAAATCAATCAATAATGCGTATGAAGAGTATGTATTAAGTGTAGGTGATTTTGATGAACGTATATTCTTGGGAGAAGATGCTGAAGAAGAAATCGGAACTCCTGGTAAATCTGGTGCTGATCTAGCTGAACAGATGCAAGCAAAACGTTCTCTGAAACAACATGTTGATGAGGTATGGTAGATTTTTAATGTGTATGAATTTGACAAATTTTGGTCATAAATTTCATTTTCCACAAAATTTTACTTTATCATTATTCTAAAAGTAAAACTAATAAGACTATGCGAGCTGGAAACAGAACACCATACAAAAGCAAGGAAACTCACTATATCTGTCATTTCCTATTAATTATAGTGCCTTTAATTTTCAGACAAAGACATTGGCGCCATCTACACCATTAACTGGTAGAAGATATTTAAAAGAGAAGGATCCTAGTATAACACCTGTCTCCACGGCAACTCAAAGTGTAGGAAGATTACAAGCTTTATTATCAGGACGGAAAACATGTCCTAGTGATCAACTCATAGAGTATTTCAAGTAAGTATTTCAAGATAAAGTCTAAAAAAGCTTAGGTATGCGGGCTGTGAAAATCCCCAATTTTGGAGTATGCATTAGGAGATATTTCAGAAGAGTGTTATCTCCAAAAAAGTTGTTTAGAGGTCACAATTGATTGAATTTTCTGACACCAATTGACTTAGTCAATTTAAATCATATTTTTTATAATGTCAATGTTAATGACAAGATCTATAAACCTTTCAGAGACTGTGCTAAAAATCCTCATGACGATATTGTAGCCAGAGTGAAAGAAATGGGAGAAACATTTTGTACACATTACGTTCAGGTAAGTTTCCATTATATGTATGTCAAAAGTATTTAAATTGACAACAATTGACACATTGCTGATTGACAATTTCTTTGAGATTGTGTCGATCATGTTATCCTTGGCCAAATGGTTTGGTAATTGGCAGGTCATCTTTGCCCAGTTCAGGTGTCACCAGAATTTCACACTCAAGACTGAGTTTTTTACTGAACGTGATCTTCACAATGATCAAGCTTTTACAATCGGTGTTCTATACCTTGACAGTATCTACCTTTCATATATATTCGGAAGTTTGTAAGTTGAGGTAGTGTTGCTAGCTTAGTCTTCAGTTTTGAATTCTGAGGCAAGTTTTCATTTTAGGCCTGTGATTTAATTAATGATTGAAGAAAAAAAGTAGGCAATTGAAGTACTACCTGGTTTTAATATTTCATGCAATGTACTAAGAATTAACATTAAGCCACGATAGCTAAATTAATATTAGTAATTAGACTTAGTAAAGAATGACCTACTTTATTTAAGTTCTATTGTGTTGATAATAATTATTGATCTAGATTTAGAATAAGTCTATTGACTGTTGATAATTATAAAAAATCTATGACCTATTTATATATCTGATCTCCCAAGATAAACATGATATTGTTATAAATTACCCCCTAGTTCGTATTATTTATTATATTCCCTGGAAATCCCCTAATAAATTAATAATAGAGTTTTTTTTATAGTTTTATAATAGTCTAGTATGAACTAAATGAAGCATGACAAATTGTACTTTATTGGATAAAAAAAAAATAACATTTCTAGTTTTATAGGTCACTGAAAAGGATAATCACTCCCTGACATTTATAAAGGCTTATGTAAGAAATGGAATCTTTGATATTTTTCCTTTCCAATGACACCAATTACAGCTCTTTAGGATCAGGGGTGATAGAGCTATGTCAATTTAAAGATTGAGGGGTTATCAAAATTTGTCGAAAAGATCAAAAGTGAGAATAGTCACATCTCCATTATCCATGACCAAATTTTGTCGAAATTTGGAATTTTAACATTTCTCATCATAACCAACATTCCATCACAATCAGTGTTAAGTTAAGAATTTTTTTTTTTTTGGGGTGATTTGTCCTGGAATGACCCTCATTTGCTCATTAGCCTTAGGGTCTAGGGCTCAATCCAGGCATAGTCAAGATAATACCTTCACATTTTAAAAATAGTCCCATATAAAAGGTACATATCTTCTTGTTATATATAAAATTATTAAGGTTTTTGAAAATGTCTAGACAGATTAAAAATATCGATAAAAATTTGTCTACCTGACTTGTATTGTGAGTAAATAATAGTCAATAGCCTATTGTCTGTCACAGATCGTGTTGTATTCAAATTATTGTGAATAGTAAACTTTATGTAAAATAAAAATTTATTGTTTGGTGTTAAGAACAAGATTTTATAAAGACATTTGCGTTATTTCGAAGCTAGCACATATTCTCCAATTTAATTTACATATAAACCAAAATGACCTGGTGTCATAATTGTACAACAGAATCCCTGTATAATATAAACAAGGTAAATATATAGTTTTAAGGGTAATAACTTAGTTGTATGGATTTATCGGATTATAGAAAGATTCTGTTATATAGTTATGAGGTAGTATTCCATTAAAACTTTGTGTGTTGATTTACAGCCTTCCAATGATCACCCTGGTACACATATAGATTTTGCTAGAAGAAGATTACAACTTGGTGAAAGTTTATATTATAAAACACTAGAGAATATTATAGAAGGGGAAAGAAAACGTCTATCAAGTAGTAAAGATAATAAAAATCTCGATTTAACGGTGAGTCGTGTGCTTGATCAGTATCCTAACAGAATTTTCTAATATTCACTCTTAGAGCAGGAGTAGACTTAAAGCGAATACACAAAGTGTGGTGTAGTGTGCTGGATAATCGGTAGAGTAGAAAATAGAATAGGAGTACATATATAAACATTGGTTACACAATTTGCTTGTACTATTTTCTACTGTTGATAATCCCACATCGTACACTAATCTCCACCATACACCAAACCTTTCCATTTTGCAGCATAATTCTGTTGAAGTTTCTGTATTGTATGCACATAATGTACATAAATAATTGAAATACATCTTTCTCGCCTCATGGCATTGCCCATCTACATTAATCAAAATCTTTTTCCCATGCAGGGACAAGTAACTTTATGAGCAGAAAAAACAAATCAGAGCCTGAGTGAGTAATACCAGATCACAAAATAACAATATATGAGTTTTATATCAATGTTAATTTGTATTTCAGAGTCTGTTAGAACAAGATATCTTTCATAGATCATTATATGCTTGTTGTTTAGAAATAGTTATCTTCTCCTACAACTCTCAAAGGTGAGTGTCATTCTACAAAAATTGTTAAAGCAATTTCATACTTGCCTTGACTGCAATAGTCACATTTCTTGTGTCATGGAAGATTGTTAATGAAGCGATTGTATGCTAGCAAATACAGCCAATCAGAAGCATCGACAGAACACAGCCGTAATGTATACAAATTTTCTGTCAAGGACTGTGATTGGCTGTCAAATCAACAATGACGGGAAACTAACTTCATATCAAATTGATAAAGAATATAACAAATGTTTGATTATTTGATATTGTAGAGCATTTCCATGGATAGTAAATATGTTTGATTTAAGTCCGTACCAGTTTTATAAAGTTATAGAGATTATTATTAGAGCTGAGGAAGGGTTATCTAGAGATGTTGTCAAACATCTAAATCATGTAAGTACAAATGTTGCTGAATATAGCTGTTAAAGGGATTGTAAAGAGGTTTTCTAACAAAAATTTTGTGTCGGGGACACTAGCAGCATCAATTTGCATCATTCTGATTTTGAATCAGTCGTCTGTGGTTTCACTAAAACTAAGCATTTTATGACATCACTAATCACGAAGTCATCATTTGAGAGAATTAATATTAAATTCTTGGAATTTTTTTTGTTACTTGATTTATAGATAGAAGAAACTATATTAGAATGTTTAGCGTGGAAGAATGAATCACCAGTATGGGATGCTATACAGGATCAGGAATCTGGTGTACCAACTTGTGAAGAGGTCAGAATTTATACACTCATCTATAACAAATATTGATATACTTAATAGTTATTTCCACTAACTCATTTCCTTTCTTATAAAGGCATGTGATATTGTGTTCTGTATTATTGTATGTAGTAAGGGTTGTCTCCCTTTATTGTAAATCTTGGAAGGGAAATGCTTTCCAAATCTCAAGGGGTCTTTAAAGTGCACAGCCTCCAACAGTCGAGGCCTTGAATTATTTGTAAACTCTGAATATAATCATAGTTTTCTGGTTGTATAATATCTTGTCAATATTGTTTTAGGTTACACCACCTAATCATATAGATCTAGGACCAGGTGGAAGTTCTGCTATTAAACATCCCCGTATTAAAACATTGACAGTAGAGGCTGGTAAACAAACAATATTATCACCAAAACAATCTCTACTTACCTCACCTAAACAATCATTATTATCACCGGTTAGAACAGTTAAAAGTAAGTTCATACATTGTTATTATCATTAGTTAGAACAGTTAAAAGTAAGTTCATATATTGTTATTATCATTAGTTAGAACAGTTAAAAGTAAGTTCATATATTGTTATTATCACTAGTTAGAACAGTTAAAAGTAAGTTCATATATTGTTATTATCATTAGTTAGAACAGTTAAAAGTAAGTTCATATATTGTTATTATCACTAGTTAGAACAGTTAAAAGTAAGTTCATTTATCATTTACACTGTGTAGAACTGTTAAAAGTAAGTTCATTTATCGTTATCACTGGGTAGAACTCACTGTTAAAAGTAAGTTTATATATCGTTATCACTGGGCAGAACTCACTGTTAAAAGTAAGTTCATTTATCGTTTACACTGTGTAGAACTGTTAAAAGTAAGTTCATTTATCGTTATCACTGTGCAGAACTGTTAAAAGTAAGTTCATTTATCTTAGTTCATTTATCGTTATCACTTGGTAGAACTCACTGTTAAAAATAAATTTATTTATCGTTATCACTGGGTAGAACTGTTAAAAGTAAGTTCATTTATCGTTATCACTTGATGTTTTTTCTGTTGTAGTTATTGATGCAAATGATCCATTACAATCACCAACTGGTATACCTGTATCTGATAGATTTAATTCTCCTCAACCTGGTAGTGCTAGACGTCAGTTATTTACATCTAAATCAGAGTCTGGTACTCAAACTGGCACCCCAACTACATCTCAACCACAAACTATCCTATCAAAACAACTACAGTCTGGTATATCAGAGACAGTGGTAGTACCACAAACATCACAAGATTCTATGATAGCTGTTATTGTTGATGGCAAACAGGTAATTGATGCTATTGTAATCATAATACAGATATACAATATACTATGCCTGATTTTTTTTGTGACCAATTTATTTTACCCAAATTTTCCTTAAATTCTTATATTTAAAGTATCCAATGTGACAATAATTTTGTTTTTTCTTTCAGGTGTTGATACCATTACAGTCCATCTTGCAGGCCAAGGTGGTAGCTCAAGCAGAGAAAGCTAAAAATTTCAGACCTAAGAAGACAGGATCATTAGCTTTATTCTTTAGAAAGGTCAGTTGATAAAATGAATCATAAAACCTTCTCTGAAGAGCTTTAAGGATTTACTTGAAGCAGTGGAAAATTAATCTCTACTTTCAAAAGTGCCTGTGCCTGCCATTTAGTATCAGAAACACATGTCTGCAGTATGAGCTAATGGATAGTTAACTTAATTTGTGAAATATTGTCTTGTATAAGTGAGAAAGAAAGAAACAACTATATTTACAAGGATAACAACTTAGGTTCACAGTTAAGGATCATTTCAACCAGCTGATGCCAATCTTCTTGGCATTGATCCTTTCTGAATCATGAATTATGAAATGTTTGTGTATTGTAGGTGTATCATCTAGCTAGTGTAAGATTACGTGATCTCTGTGATCGATTAGATATTGACTCAGATGAATTAAGACGTAAAATGTGGACATGTTTTGAACATACTATGGTGAAACATGTTGAATTAATGAAAGACAGACATCTAGATCAACTCATCATGTGTGCTGTTTATGTCATCGCTAAGGTGAGTAATCGATGTACCGTTTACTCCCTCTGTACAGACTAAACAAATTTAAATTGTGTAAAGAAAAGATGATAGCTCAATCGGCAAGGTTCCCTATTAACTAGCCTTGTTGCTTTCTTATATTTTTAATTAATTAAGCATTTATAAGTTTGTTTTATGACAATATCAGAATTTGGCTTTGGCTATGCAGAAAACTTTTTTTTTTATTGAACTCTTGGAGAGAAGAGAATGATAAACATTGCCTTGTTGTTTTGCTGTAGGTTACTGGTAAACCATTAACATTCCAAAATATCATGAAGTGCTACAGATATCAACCACAATCTCATAGTCATGTAAGTTATATAGGCTCTTGAATATTAGCTTTACCATACGATGGAGAGAAATTTCAGCTATCCAGAGCCCTATGGTCTAGTAAATTGCAAGAGAGTGCCATATATATTTGAATTATAAAAAGTCACACGGATAGAAGAGAAATGAAGCTGATAAAACAAATATATTATTTACATGAGCGCATCTCTTTGAATTTAGTTCAGTATTGATCTTCTGATCTTAGTGAAAGATTGTCAGTGATCAATACAGCTATGCTAATAAAAATACCTATAATTATAGATTTATCGCAGTGTATTATTAAACAATAGAAGAAGACATCATTCAAACTCTAGTGATAGTAGTAAGAGTGGTTCTACATCACCTGTCCATATTACTAGAGAGGAAAAAAGTAAGCTTTTATAATTGTTTTATATGTGATATTATATAATGATGACTTTCTTGAATGCTGAAATAGAGATTTCATATGGACTCCATAATGGCTTGTGCAGTAGGAGACCTGATATAACTTCCTAAGTTAGAGATTTAGATCAATGCATCATGAAAGCTCCTTAAACCATAGGAATGTCCAACGGGGTTATAGTCATTTGCTCGGTTACTTTGCAAAAAATGGTGGTTATGGGTTCTCATATAAGTCGATGAACTTTCATCATTATTCCAATCAATCCAGTCGTAAGTTGGTACAGAAAATCTAGAAAAGACCAAACCCAAGAAGTGACTAAGGACTAGCTGGTAGATAGAATCTGCTTGAACCTAAATTTTCATTCTTTCCTTTCAGGGAGAACGGAATCTCTTGCCAATATAAGATCAACAAGTACATTACCTATTCCCCAACCTAACAGTCAACCTCCTACACCTACTAAATTAATTGGTACTGCTACAACCTTTGAGTTTGGTGAAGAACGAGGAGATCTGATACAATTTTATAACTCTGTAAGTAATGGAATGATTATCTGAATCGCAAAATATTGTACACATTTAGAAATTTTAAGAATTACTTGAAAATAGTATATAAGATCTACCTATTAAGTCAAAGTCAAAGCTACTGCTTCAGGATTTGCAGGGATAACATGTCTACACAGTTATAGAATCTTCACAATGTCAAGCTAGTATGATATTATTTAACATTATGTATTGAATTGATATTCCAATCCTTTCAGGTATATGTTATAAAATTGAGAGATTATGCTCTAGAATTTTCTAAAGACAAAGGGGTAAGATATTAAATTTCTACAGTCATGAATTAAGTTTTAGGATCATCAACTCACTAAACCCTAACCTAACCCTAAACCCTAAAACCCTGGTGTATTGGATAAATGCTTGAAATGTTCATATGAGGAAGAGTTGTATAAGGTTAAGAGGGCTAGAAATGTGTTTTTGCTTGCTCACCAGTTGGTGAAAGTTGACCTTGAATAAATCATAATGATTTGACCCAGCTGTGAAAAGGTGTGGATAATCTTACAAAGATCAGTATCAAAGGTTTTACCAAGGAACAGCTTTTAGATGGTGACCTCGTGAACTTCAGTTATTAGCTTATTAAGATGGTCTAACATATAGTCATGCTACATCTATATATATATCCATTTTGTTTCAGAAACATCCCAGCTTATCACCATTTCCGTCTGTACGTTCACACAAGGGTTCACCTCGTCGTGTTAGTACAACTTGTCCTGTATATATATCACCCCATAAAACCAAGTCCAATCCTGTTTTATCACCAAAAGGAATGTCATTTTGCATCAATAAAAGTCCACCAACTGTGAGTAGAATATTTTATTAATTAAACAACAAAACCTGATTTTCAAATCCATTTCCACCAAAACCTAGTTTTTAAGTCAATCAAATGTTATTTAAGCTTTAAATGGATGCAATGTTCCAAATATTGCTTTTCTGGGTCCATTAAGGTAAAGTGCTGAAATGAAATGCAAATGTTAAACATTTACCCCAGCAGAAAAGCTCATTTTGATCAGCTCATTTTCAGCTAACCTTTATGACTATAGTCCCATCCATGGAAAAAAATTGTTTACCTCTTTATTTTTTCAGGATCTCCGAGCAATTAATAAAATGATAAAATCAGAAGAAAGTAAATTAACAACTAAGAGATTATTATTAGAAGTTGATAAGGATGAATCTATGAGTCCAGCTAAACGTATCTGTCAGGGTAGTAATTTCCTACGTAAATTACAAGATGTCAATATGGATAGAAAGGAAGCTAATGGCATGGCCAGCTAAGAAACTCAGTGCTTTATTTAACAAATATTATTCTGTAATATCCTAACGTTTTTTCATCTTGGAATCCTTGGCTTGTGCTAAAAATTGTGTTTTGATATCAGACAATTTTCAAGTTTCCCCTCGATTACCCAGATCATTTGGCAAGACAATTTCTGAGAAGATGAATGTAGGATGTAAAATTTCATTCATTTCTTTTCTGAAATGATAAATGATGGCAGATCGCTTGATTTTTAGAGTTTTAGCCCTGCTTGGTGAACTCGGAGAAGACTGTGAATGAAAGCCATCTCTTATCGCTAGGAGAAAATGATTGTTGCTTTCTCACTGTGAGAAAATTGTGCTTTCAACATAAATGATAAATATTTTATATGGCATTTAGAGGGAATATTCTCTTGTATCTGACAGAAAAATTTAGCATGTGCTCTCAGATTATTTTGATACATGAAATTTTATGCAATTTGTTATTGTTATGATTTAATTCAACTTTTTATTTTAATAAGCTCTTTATCAAATTTTCAAATCAATGTTCAGGCATTTTTTATACCAATTATATTTTATAAGTAATGAATTTTAAAAGAAATTTGCTTTGTTTAGATTTTTTAACATCAAAATTTTCTGTTTTGAATTGTGAATTTTTTTATACCATACTTTATTCTGGGTACTTGGACGTTCGATGCTTTCTGCATTCTTGAAACTTTAGTAGGTCAAGAATATGCAAGAAAATATTTTAGGAATCAGCACTCTTGATTTTGTTTATAGAACTAGATGGTTAAGTCATTTTCATGGATCAATGAAAAAATAAATACATGTATATTACAACCTTTTACGCTCTCTCCTTATCTGAATTTCATTGTCAAAAGCAGCTGATATTATCAGTTCAGTTATTAAGAGAATCGTCGAGGCAAATTCTTTTATTAAGTTGGTTAAAAACCTGAGTATTTCTATAATATTTGGAATTTGTGGCATTTAAATGTGGTAAATGTAAGATGGAGTTTGTAACATCAGAGAGCTCAAAAGAAAAAAAGAATATTACTCTTATACAGGAAAAAAAATTCTTATCTTTGGATAGCTGAAAATACCTCCAAAATAGCTGGGGAAAAAGTCTTTGTTTTGGAAGTTTCTTTAATCCTTCACATATCATTTCATAACAAAAGAATACTTATGTTTTTTGGTGCCAAATATGATGTAAATTATTTAATTAAATATTAATTTAAATATTTCCATTAGTCAGTGACACTTAACATTGATATTTTTCAAAATTTGATGTAAAACTACTTATTAATCCCTGAATGATGGCAAAAACAATGCTGTAGTTTGCCTGAATATGGAAAGAAAATATCTCAATCTTAAGGTTACTGTGCATGGAATATAATTTTTGTGTTAAATGTTTTGTGTATTTTATGTTTTTTTTTTGTGTGTTTTAAGTATTAATTGTTTATAGATATTTGTCTTAATTAATGTGGATCTTACTGATGATAGACATTTAATTTGTATACATCATTAGTTAAGCAAAAATTCGTCAACCTTTTCAGTTAAATGTTCCCTTTTGGACATAAGTCAATAGAGTGACTCAGTCAGTTCTGGGAAAAATATAAATGAGATTGGGCCTTCAATATATATAAGGCATATTAATTATGCCAGTTAACTGTACAGTAAGCTAGTCACATGCCCTCTCGCCCCTTAATTCTTAAATTTGTGTTTTGATTTTGTACATGACACATTCTATATCTGTGTAGTGTAGTATTGTACAGAATTTATATCAAATTATTTGGTTTTAACAACTCTAAAACTCTAATGGCATGTTATGTTTTAATGATAGCTTCTTATACAAATTAAGTATAAAATATAAGATAAAATGATCTTATGTTAGTAAACACATTCTGTTAAAAGGACATCCTAAATACATTTTGTTACATAATGAATTGTACAAAAATGACGTATTATTCAGTTACTAATCAAATGTATCCCAGAAATATAAAAAAAAGAAAATTAAAAGATTTAAAAAACTATAAGCCTTTTAATCTCAGGCCCAAATAAAATCACGCCCTTAATAAATAACGAATGGAATAAGATAAAAGCATTTGAGAGGAAAGTAAAGCGAAGTTGAGCAAAAAATAGGAAGTTGGTGGTTGAGACGGTTATTGGAGAGTTAAAGCAGAGAAGAGGGTAACAGATTAGAGGAAAAGAGATAAAAGGTTAAGGAAGAGAAAGTACAGTTATCGGAGAGTAAGAGAAGCGCTAGGGAATTAATTAAGGGGGAGAAGATAAACGGGGAATAGTAATTAAAGAAAGAGAGAATTTTCAGGGGTAAGAGAAGAGAGTTGAAGAAAAGGTTAAAGAAATGGGAGGGAAAGAACAGTTATCTGAAGGTAGGAGATAAGTTTAAAGATGAAGGAATGAACGGAAATTATAAGAGATGAGAAATAGGTTCAATGAAAAGACGGGAAAGAGTAGTAATTAGAGGGCAAGAGAAAAGATAGGAAAAAAAGAGATACAGGGTTAAAGAAGAGACAGGGGAAGAAAATCAGAGGGTAGAGATAGGAAAAGAGGAGACAGGGGAATGACAGTAATTAGAGGTGAGGTAAAAGATGTGAGAGACGGTCTAAGAATTGTAATTAGTGGTATTGTAAGAGATTCATGGTTGCAGATACCACAGAAAGAGAGTTTAGAGGGAGTTGCAGAAGTCATGACGTCGTAGAATTAAGGTTATTAGAAATTGAGACAGAAGTAGGTGGGTCTATTGGGATATTCTCTTAATTTGAGAGGTACGCATTGTACCTCCGTGCAATGCTTCGAATCACAGTACTCCGAAGACTTATTATGGGTCGATACCTTCCATTTTACTAACCAATGCGCTGAAGAATTTATAATGGTATTTAAAGAATTTTCATAAGTAGCCTCAGTGGTCAGATAAATTGCAGAGAGTTACTTCCCTTGAAGTAAAACGTATAGAAAACGTTACAATTTGAATTTAAAAAATTGAGTCGCATTTTATAATAAATCAGTACCCATTCAATATATATAAGGCATTCGTCTCATTTGCCTTGATGTGGTAGTTACCGTCCTGCCAAAGCAAAGCCAAGTGTGGCCATGATCATTTTTGCTTTATGGAACACCAACGCTCTGTAGTCTTGTCTCTGGCAGACCGTTACACCAACAATTCCACTTACTGCTCCGAGATAGGGAAACAACGAGAATGTAATTTTTTCTGAAAAGGACGGGTACCCATATGATCAGAAGTTATCTTATGAATCGGCATAGTAAAGTATTAAACATAAGATGGGCTCCTGTCGAATGACAATTCAAAGAGTTTCACAAGTTGACGAAGAAACTACATGGTGGAAGATCCCCGTTACCCAGATCATCTGTCAGATTCAATGTTAGATAGTATCTACCTACATGTTATAGAACACTGGCAATTGTAGTTTCCCAGTCGTCGAAAACCCAGCTGTTCTTGGAGTCTACCAGTCGCAAGGTTAACCCTAACACAAGGGCTCAATTATTCAGGGATGAGTGTCCATGATATAAGGTAAATATCCATATAATATTTCCTATTTGATTTTTCGGTATTTTTGAGTGCTGCTTTGTCCTTCCATATATGAGAGTGTTTAGATTTTTCTTTTCCATATCAAATGTGTATTGGGATGATGCAACACGATTACTTCATTGACATTTTCACAATGTCAAGCTATTAAGAACTTCGCCTTAAACTTTGACTGCAACAGTCTGTCAGTCAGCAATTTAATTGGATTGTACACTAATTTGTAACATCCGTGACAGACGAATCAGTCAAGGTGTAAGACGAAGATCGAGATAGCTTGACACTGTGAAGATGCTTCATTTCATTGATTGCCCTTAGTGTCCTATACTGATAATAGCATTTTGTACTGTTTAAATGAAACAAAAATGACCTAAATAAATTTTATTAGCAACAACCCATTATATATTAACAATGTTAAAAATAAAATAGCTAATGCTGGAAAAAAATTATTTTGACTACTTTCTGTACCAGCAGTTCAGTAGATAACGGTCAAAAATTATGCTTTAATAAGCAACAAGAACCCGTGATAAAATCCATTTCGATACTTTGATAAAAACTGCTTTACAATTAAAAGGTCGTCTACATAAAATTAGGAATTTACAATTACATGATTTTTAAAATGAGATACAAATCGATACCTTAAAATACATACATTCAATTATTGCATTTTGTATTCCAAGTCAATTTATAAGTCGGTGATAAAATGAGTAAAACTGTCATACATCCATTTATAAAACCATTCATACTGCAAGTCATGTACACGGCCATTCAATCATCAGTCTATTGAAATGAAGCTCTAAGTTGACGGTTACCGAGTGGTAAAGGTGGTCGATAATTATCTACAATAGGTGCACTTCCACATTCTCCACAACAGAGAGCTCTAAATGCTTTCATCTGAAATATAATAATCGTGGTCATTAGATGATTTTTAGCAATTTGTAATTGCTTTATGAACCGCTTTTCAAGTTGACATGCAAGTAGACGCTATCAGGGGGCATAAGGATAATAGTTCTGCTAGCAGTATTATTGGTTAGCTACCAAACTTTGATAGTGCTGTGAACATAGCCTACGACGTTGATATTTACAATAATGTTAGTTTTTTAGCAAATCTTTCACATAAAAAACGTACCTGATCTTCAGAAACCTCAATAGGTTCTTCAAAAACAATCCATGTTACACTTTCACACAATGGTGGTGTGGTGAGGGAACCAAGATAAGTCCAGTATTTGTTGATATTGTCTGAAAAAAAGAAGGCGAATGTTAAATTATACATGCAGGATTTCAATGTTCATTTGCTCATTGTTTTAAAACGGTAGGACACAGTACGTGCCCTTGTTTTATCCCATTACCAACGATATAAATCCGTTTTAATGGATCTTTTCTTAATGTCATTGGGATTTGATTGTTCATTTGCTTATTGACTACAAGAAGTAGGTCACAGAACGTCTCCCTGTTTTACCCCATTATCATCAACGTTATAAATCTGTTTTAATGAATCTTTTTCTTGTACTACATAACTACATAATATACGCTTTTCTTATGTCATTGGGCTTTGACTTTGCTCTTATTCACATTGACTAAAAGAAGTAGGTCACAGAACGTCTCCTTGTTTTATCCTGTTATGATTAATGTTATAAATCTATGTAAAAGGAAAATGTCACTGTTTATGAAATGAATATTGTCACTTACCAGGCAATAAACACACTGGGTTATATTCTTGTTTGATATTAATACTTTTATCTTTATACTGTACTTCAGATAAGACGTCAGTTAGTGACTTCAAACCTTGGTGAGGTTTGTCAGAAATCTGAAAAGACAATTATCCGATAAAGTAGAGCAGATACATTTCTAATACAAATGCGGAGAAAACATAAAAAAAAACCAGTTTATTTGCAAGTATTCCATTTATCACACTATGAATTGCATATAAAAGCAAAATTTAATGTAAAAAATATTGAGAAAGAATGTACCTTTAAGAAAATACCAAATACAGCAAGACCATCAGGCTTATCTACGGCTTCACCAAAACTGGAATATTTTGTTGCATTGTAGTGCACCAAATGTAACTGAAAAGAAAATAACACATTTGAATACATTTGTGTACATGGAATAATTGATCTCTCGGTATGTGCGACTTCTACCGATTTACCTTTTCGATCATTCCACCACTCCACTGTAATTTTGCCAAACATAATCCCGTATGCTATATAAAAAGTCATGATAAAGGAATTCTATGACTTACCTCTGCAGGGAACATTTTACCATTAAGAGTGTGTTCTGATCCTTGTTTATCTGCAGATCCCCAATGTAAATGGAACTGTTCTAATTTATATTCTCCTTCTAATGGTCCACCTTTGATAACTGTTAAGCAAAGAGAATCATCATTAACAACTAGAATATTGTTGTATTTCACTCAATCTGAACGAAACATGGAAATATAACATTCCTATAACAAGCACCAGCTCAAAAAGCAAACTGTGGATCCAACCTATGTGCAAAAATAAGTGAATATGCTAGTCAATCATTTTCACAAAAAAATATACATACCACTTTTGCTTTTAATATTGGCTTTCACACTCAGACCTGGGTTACATAATTCCATTGCTGGTTCTGGCGAATAGTTAACTGTTAATGGATTTTCTGTTAACTTGGTATCACACTTAGCGGCTGTGGGAACAATATCAATAGGTGATTGTCTGGTACCAGCAGCGACAGGGAAACTTTTAACCCAGGTAGCGGGTCCTGTAAAATAAGATATAAATACATGTCTAATAAAAGTCGAATTGCTTATAAAAAGCGTCTACTTGTCCCTTTGAAACAATGTGCAATAATGTCTGTCATGTATATTAAAAGCATTTGTTACCGTTGTACAACAAATGCATGATCTAATGAACGTTGATCACTTACCACATTGAATCACATTGTTGTACACCAAATATTAAAGTAGGATCGATAGGCATGTCAAACAATTATAATATTTACGTTATAGTGTACATCAGAGTTTGTATAATCAAGTGTATGTATAATCAGGTTTTTGTATAATCCAAGTGTTTGTATAATCAAGTTTTTGTATAATCAAATATATGTATAATCAAGTATATGTATTATCAAATATATGTATTATCAAATATTTGTATTATCAAATATTTGTATTATCAAGTATTTTGTATTATCAAGTATTTTGTATTATCAAGTATTTTGTATTATCAAGTATTTGTATTATCAAGTGTTTGTATTATCAAGTGTTTGTATTATCAAGTGTTTGTATTATCTAGTGTTTGTATAATCAAGTGTTTGTATAATCAAGTCAAATGTTCAAAAATCAAAATTTGAATATCTACAATATGTACTACCAATAAACTATTACGGGATACCCACGGGAATTGCCATGCCCTTAATACTAACGAGTCAATGTAAGGTGGCGGATATTAATGAATGTACTACAACAGATAATATCAACACAAGGTGATACAAGGTGAAAACGAAATTTAATATGTTCTTTAATGATAACATCACAAAGCAAAATATTTCGTTCAACGCTGGTATTTGAAATGTCACCTCTAGAAACTAGGTGAAAATGTGAATACACCATTAACGTAGATGCATTTTGTATGTCAGTAAAGGTGATTTGGTACTCGAAAGTCGTATCGCTCTTAGATTGTATCAATCCTGACTCAATTGTATTGGCCTACTATTTTACTATAAAGTCGATCATTCTCTGAAATTTAGGCTCTCGTGACATAAACAAACTAGCAAAGAGTTGCAAAACTCAAAAGGTGCCATCACAGTAGTTTTTTCTTATATAATAATAACAATAAGATATATATTTTGTTGAGGTGTTACGACGTCTGTTATACAAGTCTATTACTAAAGAAAGTTAAACCTTCAAGTTTGTGAGATAACAGACTTTGTATAAATAGAACTACACTGTACATATGTTTTTTCTCACAAGCAAACCCGATGAAAATCAAAAATGGATTTATCATTGTACGAAATGTTATGATATATTTTAAGTTTAACAAATTAGCTTGTATATAAGAACTGGGATAAGGTGTGTTTTAAAATCTGAAGTCTTATTTTCCGTTTGTTCTCATAGGCCGACAAATAATTTCGTTTTTTCAGAGTGTTATGTTTTAGTTATGACATCTGTACAACACCTAACAAAATATTCAAATGTAAGATATGATAGGAAAACTTTGATTAAATTTTTATCTCGTATTAGTGGAAGTGTTTATATCCTGAATCAAGAACAGAAGATAACTTTCAAATATTCATCAAAACAACATCTGTATATCTAGTAATATTCTTATCACAAATTTCTTTAAAGAGTTTATCTTCTAAATTTCATTTGTGTCATAGATAATTGCATAATATACGTCCATAACATATTGACTTGCTTCCTAATAGGCCACACACGAAATGAAATGAAATTTTTGTGGTAAAGTAAAGGAGCGTTACTAAGCTTCCGAGTTCGACAGACTTCAAAATTAAATGCATTTCGTGTCAAATCAATGGGATTGGAAGTGGTGACGGCTGGTGTATTTTCAACGATATATTGGTATAAGTTTAAAGCCCCCTACATCTGTATTATTGAAATTTAAGCTGAATTAAAGAAAATAGTCGGATCTTGTAACAAAAGAATCATTGGCCGGCGCAATGACCTTGACGTCGTGAACTTTAAACCTGACATTTTATGCTCTTTTATCATTCTGTCGACTGTTTTTAAACCAGTCATTAATGCATCAAAATTTTGTTTATCGCGACAAGCTACACACTATTCTAGACCATGCGTTATCACTGTCTTAATGACTTTCTTTGTTAATAATACATCCCCACTGGTTGATTACTCCTATCGAAATCTACCCATGTAGATCTATCTAATATTTGGTCTTTCATTCTTATCAATAACGCAAATCATTCTGGTCATATAAAACATACAGAGCATTTCGTATGTGAGGCAGACACAAATTTCCTTAAGTAACTGAAGACAAAATCGGTAAAATCTCTTGGTTTTCAAGTGTGGTTATCTTTAACTTCTGCATTTGAAAAAAAGAAAAAAACTTTTTACATTACGGGAGCCTCGAGTAAGCTGTGCGTGTGGCAAACAAAGGCCTCTCCTACATATAAGATCATAATACAACAGAGGACTATCTTTGAAGTACGTTCTATTCAAAACAGAAACCCTATATTGTTTATGTTATAATAGGGCATATGGCCAAATATAAACTTTATAAAGAAGAATATAATGTAAATTGCTGTGTAACTAATATTTTTTTTTACTTCTGGCCCAAAATCGCTGAAGCTATCACAAACGCGAAGTATAACCAATGCATTTAATGTGATGCAGATAATTTCATTTGTCTCGATTTCATTCTACGCGTTTAAACATATGTTAAACCATAACAAGGGAAATTCCGATCAGTTCAGGGAAAATGTCAAAATTTAAAAATCTAAAATCTATGTATACATATGTGCATCATCCTGTAATAAACGTTATGTTATTCTGATGTCATATTAACCACAGAAAATTGCAATTATACCAAGAGATAGACAATTTCATTTGTTTTGATGTATACAGTGGTTGCCACCTTAGATTAAGAAATGAGTTGTAAATTTTTTTCAGCTCGAGTGTAATAAATGGTTTATGATTATTATTATGCTGTTAAATGTAAAAGCTCCATTAAGCATTTGTAGTATTCAACGTATAAATTAAATAATCATTAAGGCCTCTCATACATTATTCAGTGTATATTATTACCCTCGATAAATGTTGGTCACGTTAACAATTTTTTACTGACAATTTTAACAACCTAGCTGATATGACGATATATAGACCTTCTAAATCATTTATTATGCATGTATCTAAATCATTTTGTGAACGAACTAAAGTACATACATGCTGTACAATATAGTATAAGATTTTTTTTGTTATACGGTGGCTAGTCAATCCCTCGTAGTATATAGTAGGCATATCGTTATATACTAAACGTATGCAAACTAGTAATAGAACTTAATAAATTTTTTCACCGAGCATGAAAATACCAAAATGATATAAATATATGAATGACAATAGCAGTTTTAGTTAATCCAAGGAAACGAATAGTCGAAATGACTATAAATAAAAAGTATAACCTACCGTTGTCATTGCCATATCCCCAAGTTGCCATTTCTATAGTTTACAGTAATCTGCTTTACAAGTGGTATAAATCCTTTAACTAACGGCAACCGTTTGTGCTCGTGCTGAAGAAAGCTGATGACTGGTTCAACTGCTGGTTTCACGTTATATGCTACCTGGAATTATATACCAGTCACGTGATCACACACTTTGACTGACAGATCACCTGACCTCAGATTTCTTCAAATATTTTAAGCAACATTTTAACCCCTTAAGATAACGTGTAACGTCCGTTGACATAGAAATGACAAAAAATAAACATTTCTTGTACGTACACGCTTGTAAAAGTGCCACAAATGTCATGTTTACACGATCAGTAGCTAGAGCGTAATAGTAATCACTATCCACTACATGAATTGAGACCCCATATACAATATCAAGACTCACCAAGGACAAACGTTTCCAACGTGCAATGATGACAAAGATTTATATGACATAAATAAAGAGCGAAAATGTCTAATCAAATTTGAATGTGTTATTATATCGCATCGTTGGTGGAAATTTAAATGAATTTCTGAATATTTGTCAAATTTTATAAAAATGAAAATATTGACTTCAAAACTTCGAATATCTTGGCACCGAGGGCTACAAATTTCAAGAGATTTTCAGTCAACGTTATTCAACACCAATATTTCAAAGTGGGCGTATTAGAAAGGGTGTGTAGCTTCACAGATTTGAATATCAAATTTAGTAGGAATTATGAACTGTGTTTGATCAAATAACAGTTTTCTACGACAACGATGGATTTGAACGAAAATAATATCACTGAGACACTTACGGGTTCTCTAAAAATTGACTTCAATAAAATTAACGACCATTAAAACAAAAAACTGTTAAAACTGGACAGTGAAGTAGTGAAATAAATAGATCGTCCTCTCTTGGTGAAATAGATTATTAAAATGGCTGGGAGAAAGGTGGTCGTGGTATATTGTATAAACATTGTGAGTACAAAACGTGAAGTGCGTGAAGAATAATGGTCAAGGTGAATTCAAGTATGGTTATTGAGTCCGAAACAACCGATATTATGTTGGCATCAGTAGTACTGTCACCTCATCTAATGTTTCCCAGAAATGCCACTTCGCCTTGGCCAGGCTTCTTATAGACGAAAAAACTTACTGGTGCCTAAAAACTTGTAGTGGGATACAGGCTACATTCACAGAAAGCAACAAGTCTTCGAAAAGAGGGAAGTTACTATTGTGAGAGCTTTTATGGAAAAATGGTGGGTGGGGGTATTCAAGTATGGTTATTGAGTCCGAAACAACCGATATTATGTTGGCATCAGTAGTACTGTCACCTCATCTAATGTTTCCCAGAAATGCCACTTCGCCTTGGCCAGGCTTCTTATAGACGAAAAAACTTACTGGTGCCTAAAAACTTGTAGTGGGATACAGGCTACATTCACAGAAAGCAACAAGTCTTCGAAAAGAGGGAAGTTACTATTGTGAGAGCTTTTATGGAAAAATGGTGGGTGGGGGGTCGAGATGGAATTGTGTAGCTCAATAACCTGATCTCAAATAGTTCATATTTTCAAGCACTTTAAAATTTCGATAAGCCACACACATACTAGTATAAGGTAATCAATAGTATGTAGTAGAGGTTAGTAAAAATACATATATTGATAGTGTATGACTGTAGTAGGTAGCCTAGGTCAGTAATAATACAGATATTGATAGCGTTTGACTGTAGTGTGTAGTCTAGGTTAGTAATGATACAGATATTGATTGTGTTTGACTGTAGTGTGCAGTTCAGGTCAGTAATGATACAGATATTGATAGTGTTTGACTGTAGTATGTTGTCTAGGTTAGTAATGATACAGATTATGTTCGACTGTAGTCTAAACACTATCAATATCTGTACCGTTACTGACCTCTACTACAAACTACAGTCAAACACTATCAATATCTGTATCATTACTGACCTCTACTACATACTATAATAAAACACTATCAATATCTGTATCCTTACTAACCTCTACTACAAACTACAGTCAAACACTGTCAATATCTGTATCATTACTGACCTCTACATACTACATACTAGTCAAAAACTGAACCATTGAACAATTCCCATTCATCCTATGAGCAGATATTTCTTCATATAAATGTATCATGTTATATCAATAAATTAATCGATTTCTAAGTTAGATTTCAGGGAATACTTATTTCAGGACTGGTGCCATGGCTATATACAGTATATTATATAACATGCAGTGTATGATTGTGTGTGTGTCTTTTCAACTATAATCATACTAATGACTAACTAATTTTCACATAATTGATAGACTTATCTATTGCTCTGTGATCTAGGCCAGTGCTTTCATTGAGACTCGTCTCAATACACCCTAAGACTACCAATATCTGTATCATTACTGATCTCTACTACATACTACAAACACTGCCAATATCTGTATCATTACTGACCTCTACTACAAACTACTGTCAAACAGAATCCACATCTGCATCATTACTGACCTCTACTACATACTACTGTCAATATCTGTATCATTACTGACCTCTACTACAAACTACAGTCAAACACTGTCAATATCTGTATCATTACTGACCTCTTCTGTATACTAGTTTCAAACAAGGATAATTCACATGTGAGTTTGAAGGCTCAAATTTTGACGGTGAGCTCTGAACACTATTACTGATTGGCTTAGCTAAAACAATCCTGTTTCTGAGACTAAAGTATGATTGGTCAAAAAATTGGTGTAACTGTCCCTTGTTCCATGATACATGAATCGAGTTGAAAAGTGAGCCATGTTTCCACTTTCTTGAGAATTTTAAGGAACTTTAGCGGTTTTTACATAATTTATTTATTTGTTTCGTATTCATGTTAATTCTGGACACTTTTAGGAATATAGAATCGTTTAGAGAAACAACATGTGTTAGTGAAGGCAAGTTTCTGGACGACAAATTGGAAAAGGTTTGATAAAGGCTAACAAGTCAGTTTTTAGTCACATGATAGCGGACGCCGAACGGGTCCTTTTTAAATTTATAAGTGACCAAGTTTGACAATAAAACAAATATTTAAACTTTTTGTCCAAATTTTGTGGATCATGGATTATTGTGTCACAAAATATTGTGGAGCGAACGGACCCAGGGCGAACGAATTAGGGGCAAAACATGAAAAAGACGTTTAACAGCACAGCTAAATATAAAATTCTTACTTCATGACCTAGGCCTGCGCTTTTATGGGATTTTTATTCTCATATCACCCTAATATCCATAGGACACAACATTACAATTTTTGTGGAAATATACATTACTTACTCAGTGTCGTAGCCAAGATTTCATTCATTTCAAAAAGGGAATTTTTGATGAACAGGATTAGTATTTGATTGCAAAATCGTTATTTCAAATATTTAGGTAGGTTTAAGCAATTTTTTCCGAAAAGAATATCAAATCATGATCAATCTGTAAGGTTACTTATGGCTATTTACCACTGGCGTGGTAAATAGCCACTGCCAAGAGAAAATGCTGTAATATTACCACACTGTATAAACAAGCATGTCAATGACCGATGGTCAAGCGAATAAAGAATGAATCTGTCGACCCTCACAGACTGGTCAATGTATTATGTAACAATATGCTCAGGGTCATTGAACGCTGACATCTGAAGATAAGGATCTGTTAAGAGTTCTATCAGGAAGTTTAAATAAATAAGATATCCGACATGCATAACAAGGTCCGCATAAACTTTTGAATATATTAATGAAATTTAATAAATGATAGAAGAATCAAATAATCGAATGCACCAAGAATGCATATTTTAGACTGAAATTATTGCGTATAGTTTCTAATGCTAATGAATTTTTTTTTTTATAATAAATGCATGAATGAATATTCGATGACAATATTTAATTATTGAACGAAATTGGGACGACATAACCCCGATTAAGGTATCTTTTAAACCTTCAATACATTCTGAGCAAAGAAAACTACCGATGCCAATTTTCTAGCAGTTGCACAAGATAATTTCGATTGCTAACAATAAGCTCTATAGATGTTAAAGTATTTGGACAATGTGGTGTATTTTTCTAACATTGTACCAGATTTTATGAGACTAATTTCATGATTTAGTTTGGGGAAAAAGAATTCCCAATAGATCTGATAACAAGATTATTGTTTGTTATTGAATGAGTACCAAGTCAATGGCCACTTTCATCTGATTTTAATTGATGACAGACAACTTTCTATCAGTGACCACCATTGATAATGTACTCTTAATGTCTTCATGTGTTGATTTGAACATTACAGAATTGTACATTACGTAACCAGAATCGCTGTAGGGCCAGTAATTTATGGCACCGATTGTTTATTTCATCAATTTCCAGGCGCTGATGTGAATAAAACAGACGACGAGAGTCAGCCGAGATCTGTAAAATCGCAGTGGGCTCTTGAGATATTTAATGATAGGGTGTACCATTCCTTGATAGGCTAATTATACTGACAAAGCCACCTGTTTGAAATCCTTATGAACGTGGGCCAATTCATCTTTAGATTAGTTTTCTTGCTATGGCTATGTGATCAATTGCCAACTATTAAGTTGGTAATGCATATCTATTTTACATGGGGAACTTTTGGAAAAGAATCAAGTAGTTTTTGCTTCCAAAACATAATCATGTATCATAAGTAACATTTCCATGATCACTGATTCGATTACGTCACAACCCCCTCAGTGTAAAGATAATTTGAGAATTCCAGAATCATAACTTTTGCCTAAGCCTTGCCAATACAAACGAATAAAGTTGTTCAGGTTCAACAGGCGTGATCTGAAATGAGTACGATTGTCCCCTAAATAAACCCTAAATCAAACAATGTTAATTTGAAATTTTTAAATCTACAAACAATGGTATAAATGAATAGGTGGGACTATTATAACTTCAACTTTTAACATCAATATATTATTATTCATTGTCTTAGTGAAATGAACCTTTGTTTGGGGGATACAAGTCATGAGTTCAATTCTATTCTAGTTTTAGTATATACATAAATTATTAAATATTCGGTCTCTTCTTGAATCAACTACCTTTTTTATTTCTAGGTGCAGAAAGATGGGACGTAATACACCATTTGGTTCATTCATTTCCTGATGGGACAAGACAAAATTCGACCTGTTATTTTAGAATGTTGTCTCGGCCCTAATTAGACGAATACACGTCTATCTTAAGCCATTACTTAAGATTTAGATTACAAACGTAAGGTTTGGTGACGCCAAGTAAGAGAAAAAGAACTTTTAACCTTTAAGCAGTATAGTAAATATATATCATATTCATATTCTTTGTTTTCCATTTAAATTAACGGTAAAATCAATATTTTATAGTTACCATGCCTAAAAACGGGCGCCTGATGTTTTCCTGATTGAAATTGAAAGTTTGCATGTCACGACGTCACAAACAGTTTATTATCAGTATCGCAAATTGTATTTTACTGTATTGTTTAGAAACAGATTTTATTTATAGGCTTAATCCTGATCTGAACTGAGAAAATTACTATAAAAAATTGATTTTGATTGTAGTGAAGTCACTAGTGCGTTTTAATCTAAATGAAATAATTCCATTGTATAGTTCTTGGCATTATCAAGGAACTTTTTGTTGGGATTGTTTGGAACAGAATTTAGAATGACATTTCTCATCTAAAACGTATAAACATAGATTTTACAATCATTTTGAAAGCAATCAATATAACTAGTTCTAGAATAAATATATAGTGATATATTATCCTATTATCCTTCAATACTGCAGACATTTTAAAAACAATATAGGAGTGTATTCTTATTAAAGGGATATAGTCGTCTAAATAATTGCTTTCTTCAACTAATACACCCCAATTTCAGCCGTCAGTAGGCCTTTTCAGAAAAAGAAAATGAGGTCTGTTTCGTCT